CTCTAAAAACGCATATTTTAAAATGCTATTGGACGGCTTTTTTAATATTTTGTCTCTAAAAACGCATATTTTAAAATTATAGATCCCCCATCATGCTACTGTCGATATTACGGACGTCGCCATCTTTTTTTTCTCTGTCCGTTGTTCGCAATGTCTACGAACGATCGCTATTAACGAACGCACTGTACTCTATCACGTGACTCAAGGTATAGTTGTCCGGAAATACGTCAGAGCTGTAGTCACGTGACCACCTGGCTCCGTCGTCACCGCTCACGTGACTGGATGACGTTAACCGAGGTCACGTGACACGAATTGTAAGCGTCCGCCGTCCAACGTGCTACTCCGCGATGTGAACAAGGTTAAGCAATGGCGGCCTCCACCGTGCACAGTCGGTAAGTAATCCGATGCGTTTTCGCTTATAGCTCTTAATATACGCGTCTCCCGCATGTTGTGACATGATCTACTCGCAAATAAAACAAATGTGCCCGCAGTGTCGCTACCGCACCCACCGCAATGTATCAGGTCGTAACATATCACCTGCGAAATGTACACATATTTTGCCAAACATTCGGCGCTTCAGCCAAGAGCGTAGCCGAATGTTCGGTATTCGGCAAAATCACTATTCGTGGCATCACTACAATAAACCATGCCCTTCTATGAACTTTGAAGCAACTTTAATACAGTAGAACCCCTCTAATCCATCACCTTTGGGACTGGGGGGGTATGGTCGGAATGCAGAAAAGGTCGGATTATCAGAAAAAAGTAAAATAAACAATCTTCCCCTTTGTCCAGTCTTTGTAGCACTGCTAATTTTTCATTTATGAAAGAGTAACGTGTTTATGTTTCACTCCTGACGTGTTAAAAACACACACAAAACTGTACATGTACACACAATGTAAAACATATACTGTAACGAACACAGAAAAACGCCACGGACAGTGAGTCACCGACAAGTCGGGACAAGTTTCTCGACTCCGACCACGGTCGGATTAACCGGAGTGACGGACTAGCCGAGGGCAGACTAAAGGGGTTCTACTGTAAATGAAAACATTTTTAAATGTACATGCTGCAGTACATAAATATAAAATTTGGAGTAGTGTACAATACTCTTTAAAAACTTTTGGTTACCTATGATCGGAATTGGGAGGTCTACTTTACTTAAAATTTTTAAAATTCCCACGGACACTAAAATGGCTTTATTTATTAATAATGATAATATTAATAATAATGTGCTGAAATAA